CAATTGGATCGACAGGTTTATTTTCGTTCGACCTGAGGCGCCGTTCCCTTGGCCTTCCGTCCCTTGGGTGAAGGAGGTTCCCCAGGAAGTTTCTGCTCTTCCCTCCAATCCCCTTTTCGAGCAACGGGTCCATACCTGGAACTCTAAAACTGTCGCTTCAGAAAAACTTCTTAGGGATGAAAACCTTCTTCACCACTGTGGTCTTCTTACCCACAAAACTTGTCGTCCTCCCTCTGACGAGATCCTCGATCTCGTTCGACTTGAAGATGATCCGTTATTGGTTCTGGGATTCTTATGGATGGTTTATATAAACTGAAACTTGATGTTGATTTTTCTGCATCTTTAATGTGTGTTCATCAAAACATTGGAATTAAACGTGGTGTAGCGAATGAGAACTCTGCTTTATTGTGGCATAAACGTTTGGGTCATGTATCCAAAGAAAGAATGCAAAGGTTGGTGAAAGATAAGATTCTTTTGGATCTAGATTTTACTGATCTTGGGTTGTGTGTGGATTGCATTAAGGGAAAGCAAACCAAACATAACAAAAAAGGAGCCACAAGAAGTAGTCAGCTTCTTGAAATTATACACACCGATATATGTGGACCTTTTGATGCTCCATCTTTTAATGGAGAAAAGTATTTCATTACCTTTATAGACGATTTTTCACGTTATGGTTATGTCTATCTGCTGAAGGATAAATCTCAAGCTGCAAATGCACTTGAGGTTTTCATTAATGAAGTTGAAGGACAGTTAGACAGAAAGGTGAAAATTGTAAGGTCTGATAGAGGTGGTGAATACTATGGAAGGTATGATGAATCGGGACAAAATCCTGGTCCATTTGCTAAGTTCCTTGAAAGACATGGCATATGTGCACAGTATACTATACCAGGCACACCTCAACAAAACGGTGTAGCGGAAAGGCGAAATAGAACATTAATTGATATGGTTAGGAGTATGATAAGTAATACATCATTACCCAAATCTTTGTGGATGTATGCACTTAAGACTGCCGTGTATCTGCTAAATAGGATTCCTAGTAAGGCAGTTCCTAAAACTCCTTTTGAGTTATGGACTGGAAGGAAACCTAGTTTGAGACACCTGCATGTTTGGGGTTGTCCGGCAGAAGCACGAGTATACAACCCACATGGAAAGAAATTGGATTCTCGAACTGTGAGTGGTTACTTTATTGGTTACCCAGAGAAGTCCAAAGGATATATGTTTTGTTGTCCTAATCATAGTTCTAGAATCGTAGAAACGGGCAATGCTAGATTTATTGAAAATGGTGGAGTTAGTGGGAGTGCTAAAGAAACTGTGGAAATTAATGAAATAAGGGTTGATGTTCCATTACCCATTAATGTTCCAATATCCACAGTTGTACCAAATATTGTTCCACAACCACAAAATAATGGTGGACAAAATTTGGATGAAGTAGCACCCCATGAAGAGACTAACTTGCCACCAACTAATATAAATGAACCACGTGGAATAGCATTATGCAAACCTACAAGGGTGAGAAAATCTGCTATTTCAGATGACTATGTGGTTTATTTGCAAGAGTTGGATTATGATACTAGCATTGATGAAGATCCTGTTTCGTTTTCACAAGC